TTATCTTATTTTAAAACTATATATTATCTTTAAAAATAAAAAAAAAAATAAAAATAATTATTACTATATAGTTATTTATACGTACTAAAATTTTAAAATTAAGCTACTATATATATTAACTAATAATATTTTGAATTTAATAAAAAAAATTCTTTATTATTAATTTTATTTATTTTAATTAATATTATTCTTAACCAATAAAATAATTGTTAAAAATACATTTAAATATAAAAACGGGTTTACTAAATCATACCAGTGATGTTTAACACAGTTGCTATATCTCAAAAACGTACTAGCTAATATACATCAGGAAACTAAGCAAAATGTTTAGCATCCCAAAAACCTCATCCTAACTAAAATTTAAGCCTATATCTTTATTAAAATTTAGGTTTCCTAATTTTAAATTTTACTAAAAAAATGTAGTGTATATGGTGTTGAATGATTTAGAAAAACTGTAAAAATTACTTTATTAACTTATACGTATAACAAATGTATTATACATTTTTACGATAAACTTTTTTTTAAAAATACGGCGATTAATAAAAATATAAAAAGCAGGTAAAGTCATGTATTTGTAAAATATTTTTATTAATTTAAAGCTAAAGTTTTAATATTATACAAAAATTTTTAATTTTTTTTTTACAAACAAATAATAAATTATAAATTATGTTGGTTTGTTTTATAAAACAGGAGCATAAAGATTTAGTTAATGCATAAAACTTATAAACTTTGACTTAAATTTTATTAAAAATTTGAGTATACTAAACAATATTTAAAACCAAAAAAAAAAAAAAACCGTTAAAATTCTAATTCAGAAGTAGATGACTATATTGTTCTTATTATTCTAAATTTAGCAAGCCGACATTTCCGAATAGTATTTATTGCATTAACCCCATTGGAGACTTCGGAGTTGAATAGTTGAATATTAGTGTCATTGATTTTATGCACTTACAACTTTTTGTAACCCACGTTTGTATGAGACACAAATTTCAATGAGTTTATTTGCACATATATATTTATACGTATATACAGTACATTCGAGACAGCATAAAATATTTACTACGTATTCATAAAAGTGCCAAATTAAGGTAAAGACAATACAAAATAACTACTTTCTATATCTGATATATAATTTATGTACACAGTATATAATTGCGCGACCGTTAGTTTTCATTGGTTAACTTCACGTGATTAAATAATAGTTGTTTATCCATATCGATATGATAATACCATATGATAAAATAAAAGATAACACAAATTCTCAAATTACATGAATAAAATAGACAATACTTGAACCTTTATAACAATGCCAAAAAAACAAAAGTTTTTTCTCGGAATTTTTTTTTTCGAGATGTGGTATCAATCAATTTAGAAGATTTTTTTTTTATATTTAATAATTTATTATAAAAAAATTTAATTGGATATTTTCTACTGTCCCGCACTGTATATTTTTGATATAAAACTGTGTGATTTGTATAGATGTCACATAATTGTATAACTGTAATCTGCCAACGCTAAGAACGCAAAACAAACAAACAAATTGGTGATAACTTTGTAATAATGGTGGGTGCAAAATAATCACATTTGCAATTTGAAATTATGTATATTTTATATTCTTAAAAAAAAGGTATAAAAAAACGTTAAAACTATATCAGTTTTTTTTTGCACGTTAAAAACCAAAAAAAAAAAAAAAAAAAAAAGAGAAATTAAATTTTAATGATTTAGATTTTTCAAATAAAAAAAAAAAAAAACTTTTTACGTGCATATTTTCTTTTCTCGTTAAAGAGAAAAGGAATAAAGAAATTCTTTTTATACGGTTTTCCTTTTATTTTTTCCCTTTTTTCTTGCTTTATTTTTCAAGTCATATAGTTGGTTTATAATTATGGAACAGGTTCTAACAAACCAACAAGAAAGTTCGGAGAATGGAATATTATCATGGGTTGAAGATCAATCTGAGCTTTCTCAGAAAAAACTTTTAAAAAAGAGGGGAAAAATATGTTCCAACGCATGTAATAAATGCAAGAGGGATAAAAAAAAGTGTGATGGAGACTCTGAAACAAAAAAAGCCTGTACGAATTGCATTGATCGTAAAAGGGAATGCAAATTTTCAAACATTCGTCGAAAACCAAGAGCAAATATTCAAAACATTCAGCAACTAATAAACAGAATGGAAATTATTGAGGAAGAATTAAAAAAATTGATTGAAGAAATATCTTTTATTAAACATATAAAAAATATTTTTTTCAAAATGATTAATCCATCGACGACAAACGAACAAGTAATGGAGTTGAGAAAAAGGCTTTTTGAAGAATTAACAAAAGAACCGGAAAACCAAGAATTCTTTGAAAATAAAATTAGTATTGAATCGCCTTCATCGAGTTTACCTCTGTTTAACTCTTATGAAGATTTATCTTCCGAATCAATGTCATCTCAAATTAAGTTTCCCGATAGTCTTTCCTTCAATTTTAACGATTTAATGGCAAATAAAGAGCTTTCGAAAAGTGAAAACGATTCAGCGCTTTTGGATGGAGAATATTTTCAGGCAGAAAAGCAATCAGAAGAAGAAAAACAAGCTCAAGAAACAAAAAGCTATCAAGCAGAAAATACATATGACGAACGAAAAAGAAAATCCGAAAAACAAAAAAATAAAGACACAAAAAAACCACGAAAAAATGCTAAAGGAACAACATCCAAGCAAACAGGAAATTTTCCAGGGATATCAGTGATATATCCAACACCTAAAGGTTACGAAACTCATAAATTTGTCGCCAGTGAAAATGCTCAATATAAATCATCACCTTCACCAGTTTTTCATTTGGGGTTAATGACAGTTAACAACAATTTAAATGAAAATAATCCGAATTTACAAGCAGCAACGCCAACTGCAGATTCTTATTGTTATCAAACCTCAACGAATATTGAACAAAATAGTTTCATTAATCAATTTGTTATTCAACAATTTCTCCTTTCGAATAATATGACAACTGGAATTTGTCACCCAGAAACCGAATTCTAAAATGCACCAAAACTGTAAGAAATAAATGTTTATTCATCGTCACCAAAATCATTTATATTTTACATTATAATAAGATCTTTACAAATTTAAGAAAAAAATTTTTTTGTTATTGGCAAAATCTGATTCGCTATTTACAATTTTAATAAATATATATTTCTATATAACATCATAACGATAAAGTCATATATTTCTACGTAAACTGTATCATACGAATTTATAATTTTTATATAGTTTTATCATTTACTAAAATTTACTATAGTTTACTACGTATAATTTACTATAATTCACTATAATTCACTATAATTTACTATATTTACTATATAATATTATATATAAATATATAACTATAAAACTGTAATATCGATATCGATATTGTTCGATTATAATCACGTGCAATTTGATTATATTTAACAAAAAAGGCTAAAGTATATATAATTTATACGTACAAAGCCACTCTTAAATCGATAAAATCACATCAATTTTAACAGTACACCGATAGTTTCTTGTGTTAATGATCATTGAAGGTCAATGATAATGATAATGCAGCAAAGTTCTTTCTTGTCAATATTACCTATACAAATTATAACAAACAAATTATAACAAAGGTGACTAAAGAACATTCTCGCCGCAATTAAATGCACCATCGTAAATCAAGCACTTGTGTTCTTTATTCAGTAAAGCATTGTTAACTTTCGGTGGTTCTACTCGGAATCAATACACCGACATACCGATACACCGTGAATTAATCTTGTCTTTTAATGGGAAAATTAATTCTATTCGAATACACAAAAAAAAAAAAAAAAGTACGTACATACGTAAGTATCGATGTGGTCATTTTTTTCATGTTCTTACAAGTTATTTCTTTTTTAAATGTTTAACGTAAGACCAGGGAAAAAATACACTTTTTGTATTAACATTGTACACCAAACTGCGTAAGGGGATCGACAAGATAGTTTGTATATGTAACAAATATACATCCAATCCCATTGGTCGTATAATGGAACTTGGTCGTTTCACTAAATGCGATTAAGGATTCTATTTAAATGAACATTGCAAATTTTTAAAATGAATCAAACAAATGTCATTAGAACGCTTTATAGAATGCATCATCTTTTTTTTTTTTGTTTAACTTTGTGCAGCAATCTACGTCCATCGACTTCTAAAGATTGAAACAACGAAACATTCCATAAGAATGTAATTCTCGATTAGTATACGTTACAGAACTATGTAGCCAGTTATACACGGGTTATATCCGAGAGATATCCGAGGTCGTAATCGTTATTAGTGTAATTCTGATAATTGATAATTGATAATATACAGTATATATTACATATACACATATATACTTATACTATAGTAATTGTAACATATTCAATGTCATGAGTTATGCACACAAATTTAAACCTAAAATATTTTTTCGTTAATATTTTTACTAATATTGGCTTTTCATTTCTTTTGTTATGTTATATCTCATTTTCAGGTGAATTTATTTCCCATGAACAAATAGCAAAAATAGCAATAATTCTTAATTGATATGTCATATGATATTATTTGGTGAATGCGCTATAACATTATATCATAATTATATCATAATTATATCATAATTATATATATCATAATTATATTATATATTATCATAATCATATATCATAACTATATTATATACGTATTATCATAATCATATATCATAATTATATTATATATTATCATAATTATATATCATAATTATATTATATATTATCATAATTATATTAGAGTTAATTAATTATATACCTACCGATACATAGTATATTGTAGAGTTAATTAATTGGTACACATGTATGTATATAAATTAAATTAAAAATTTGCGATTCATAATATTTGTGTATGGCTGTGATAGTTTTTTATTAATTTACTAAATATTTGTAGATTGTTTGATCTAAATATATTATCTAAATATATTCACTATCTACCCAAAGTCCGGGAATAACCTGTAAAATTTCATCGTGCTAATTTTAACCCAGTTATTTTTCTTCTATAACGATAATGTGAATTTTGAAACCATCCGACTTTTGAATTATCTTAAATTGTTTATATTACTGTCGCACGGTATCCAAGAAAATATTATTTTTTTCTTAATGGCAGGATTGTTTATACTGTAGTATATAGTTGCTTATAATATATTATAGAAATAATCTGGTTAATTGAGTCATGAAATATAATTAATTACAAAGGTGTAATTATAACAAAGATTGTAAATGCATCAATTCTGAGTACACGGTCTCAATGTGCAACTACTATATGGATTTCCTTAAATATAGTTTCTTAAATACGTAT